CCCCCCCCCCTTCCGACTCTCCGTAGACTTTCTACACAGATGACCACCGTATTGGTCTAAAAGTCCCCAGGCCGCGCACCTCCCTCCGCTTCTCCGCCTCCTCTCTCCGTACCCAAAAACATACCCATACCACGGAGCCCCCCCAATTCTCTGTAGATCTTCTACACCGATGAATACCATCGACCATCGACCAAAAAGCCTACAAGCCCACCTTCCTCCGCTCCTCCTGCTTCTCCGCCTCTTCTCTCCTCGCCCTCCTTCTCTCCTGGTCGATCTTGTTGAAACGCTCGATGGTGTGCTTGTGCTCATCCGGGTGGTACCCCAGCCAGCGGTCCCGCTTCGCGTCGAAGGACACCTGTGCGAAGGGCGAACCAACAAACAACATCCACCCAATTGTTGTTCTTGTGCTGCTGCTGCTGCTGCTGTTATTGGTGATGTTGGTAATGTTGGTGTTGGCGTGGCCTGTGCTGCGTGCACGTCATACCCACTACGCCGCCAACACTCGACGCGTGTACGGGAAAAACAGCCAGTACAACAGCCTCTGCGAGAATTTTCAGCTTGGTTTTAGTAGGGGGTACGGAGATGGGTTTTAGGGTTAGGAATAGGGATACGAACCCCCTCTCCGATTCATCCTGAAACCCCCCCTCCCCATTCCGTACTTAGATCAATGATACTACTCGCGAAGGCTGTCCCGTACAAGCGCACCTTTCCGTGCGAAGTGAGGTCGGTGTGGACGTCGTCCGCGGCGATGTCCATCCCCGTCTTCATCGCCGCCTTCTTGCCGCTCCGAGGGCGCTCCACACACTCCGAGGCCTTGTGTCCCATCGCGCCGCAGTTCTTGCAGGCACCCTGCACCGCACGGGAGACGTTTTTTGGCGGATTCGTAAGTGATTTACTGGGAGTGGGGGGAGGGTTTCCGAAAAGAGGGTAAGCCCGGCTGCAACCCACGGCTGCACCCCTACACAGCAGTACACGAACCCCAAAGCGGGGTTGAGCACCCCCTCCCTCCCAAAATAACCCAGCCGAAACTAATCAATCACCGGCCTTGCACCGATGATGAAACGACAACAACAGCAATCAACAACGCCCCGAGATGCACCTGCTACACGCCTATGATTCGATATTTCTGTATATCTCAATACGCTTCCATCCGCCCGGCGCCTCACCTTTCGATACCCCGTGGCCACCTTCTTCTTGGTAGCCCAGCGCTGCTGCACGAGCTCGTCCGCCTTCTTCATGGTAAGCACCGCGTCAACCTTTTGCTTGCTGTGGTGCACCAGGGAAGGGCCGGATTCTCCCAGGTACCACGGCCGCTTGGTGATGAACTCCGGGTTATGGGGGTTGATCATCTTGCCTGCGGTGGATCCAACGTAGTTGTCGTTGTTGTCGTTGCTGTTTTTACAATAGAACCTTAACCTCTTAACATCACTAACGGTTCCAACTGACGCGGACGCCTCTCATGGACAGAGTTGAAAAGCTCGATTACCTCCACGACCAAGTTATGCCCAAATCAAATGAAGTATGTTTTAGGAAAGCTCTCGACGAGATGTTCTCAACGTCTCCGTTTTCGGCACAGCAGTTGCCACTCTTTCTGCAATGTGATCGAGGTTTGATAATCGGTCTAAGGCGCTGTGGAATATATCTTTAGGCATTCGACACACCCAAAGCCATTGCTCTTCACGGGTACTGCTGTTCATCAGTATATCGTCTCTGTTTTAGCTTTCATGACACGGCGACGATTTCGATCGCATATTGCCGACGAAAACGAAAACGTGAAGCGGCAACAGAGTCGAAATCAAACAACCTCGCCCTCTCTGCGAACTCTTGCTCACAGCAATCAAGCTCCTGCAAGTCGTCCCAAGAGCGATGTCGAAGAAACCCTAAAGTCCTCCGATACACCCTCGGGGGCGAAATCTACCGAAGAGGGTCACATCAGCCAAAAAAATCAAGCGGCGTGACAAGAAACTTTACCGCATTGTCCCAATAGCATGTCGCACCTGTCTCCGTGTCCATCTCGGGCTCGATCTGCCCGGCCTCACGGGCCTGTTGGAGCTGACGCTCCTGCTTCCGGGACGCCATGGCTGCTGCGGGCTCCGCACCTCAGCCGACTTTACCGCCGTGTACAACAACAGAGAGAGAGAGAGCGAGAGAGAGAGAGAGAGAGAGAGAGAGAGAGAGAGAGAGAGAGGCAAAGGGTACTCGATTAGTCAAGCTGGCACGTCTCTTCCGAGATCGAGAGGGTCAGTAGGGGTGGAAGCACGCACACACGCGGCGACCCTGTGCATGGTGTCTTCGGATTGCGCGAACACGGCGAGAGGGGCAGCAGACGGGGGGCAACACCTACTTGCTGTGGTATAAGCTCACCGAATGACTTGACCCCCTGCACACATATCCTTACCTTTGGTTCCGGAGCTCCTCTGCAGGTGCACTGACGTTCTCCGCCAAGCTTTCGCACGGACGGACGGGGGCGTCTCTCTCTTATCTATGTCCCTCTTTGCCTGGGCTCCCGCCTCTGTCTGCACGAGAGCAACAGGCCCAGGAACAGGGAAAGCCGAAGCGTGCGAGAACCAGGGGCTACGCAGCAGTAAACATGGTTTTGCAGGGGAGGGTTGCGCGCCGTGTCCGACATTTAAAGTTGCGCCGCATTTTTGAAGAGCGCTCAGCGGTCACTACCGACAGGCAGCCAGCAGCCAGAGCCAGCCAGCTTGCACACACGCTGACCTGACGCACACCACGCGTGCTCCGGCTTGTCTTGAGACGAGAAGCGTGTGATGTCGACTCTGTTCGCTAAAAAGCGTAGCTCTTCGGGAAGGAAGCGCCCTCGTCCATCCGCTAGAGAGGGAGGACTCGGTGCTGCTGCTGCCTCCGCCAGCAAGGAGGTCGTGGATAGCGCTGCTTCGAAGACGACCAGCGAGGGGTGAGACACTTGCTGCTCTCTTGGCGTACGGCAATACGAGGATCTCGGCTTGTTGTGGATTCGCTGTCATCTCTGCGACAGTTCTATTCGTTGGGTATGCATAGATGCAGGGAGGGTGGTGATGCTGAGCGACTCTCATGCTATGCATACGCGTGGTTGAGGATGCCCCGTGTTCGGTGTGTGCATCAGCAGTGTACGGGCAGCTTTTCGTCGTCGGCAACGAAGCGATCACCGGCGTCCGAAGTACTGCTGTAGTATACATCGGTTTGGTGTTGGCTGTATGTCGTGGAACATGCCGTAGTAGTAGTCGGGCCATGGTTTGCATTCGCCACATGATGATGTGCCGTTGGATGTCGCAGAAACCGCCGATGTTGGAACACGGCATTATCACATGCGGCATGATTACAAATGCTGTCTGTCGGGATTTACGCCTCCCTTTCAGGTATGTAGCTGCTCCCAGCACGCCAACATCCAAATCAAGGGTGTACTAGTGTGGCCGATCGCGAACATCCTCACGATACTGCGGTATCTTCCTTTTCAGTTGTCACCCTGAACCTCACGCTGCTTGGGACCAACCATGTATGTCACCGTGGTCTCCAACGCGGGATATGTTGTCCTAGCTATCGAACGTAATCGTGCACAGATACGTCTTTTCCCGTAACAGAAAAAAAAGTGCTCCGTGTGGCGATTACAGACAGCTTTGGTCATAGGCACTTCATTGCCGCAGTTCCCCCCTCTCTCAACGACGGACGCACAGGACTGGAGATAGTGCTGTTCCCGGAGGAGCCCAAGCCGCCTCTATTCGGGGTGGCAAGGGTAGCAGCGAGAATGCCCACGATGTTGATCCCGACCTCTCCGCCGGAGCTTCCCACCCGCCAGCAGCCGACGGCAGCCGGAACGCGGAAATAGCAGCGGAGGGGGCGGCGCCAGAGGAGGAGGCGACCTTTGAGTCGCTCGGGCTGTGCGATTGGCTGCTGACGGCTTGCAAGGCCATGGGCTTCCGAAGACCTACCCCCGTGCAGCGACACTGCATCCCTGCGGTGAGGGGAATAGACACGCACGCTGCCGCATCTCGTGAAGAATCTTGTTTTACACGGCGAGGTTCCTTGCAGCGAAAACTGCCACCTTTTTGTGTCCCACCGCTCCCGGTTTCTTTGCATACAGGCATTTTGAATTTGGACGGAATCTTAACCCGTAAGCCACGCTCCTCCCGGGAATCCAGGCGCGTCTCTGACTTTGCTTTACACGTCATGTTTTTGGCTTGCTGGAAATGATCTCGTTGCGCTTTCTCTCGGCGAAGTGTATCTGCCGGTCCGTCTATGAGTCTGCCGGCGGCAAGTGTGGGCAGGAGGTGGTGGGGTACGCGGAACTTCTCTGCTCAAGTGATGTCCTCTTGAAACGTCAAAACGGATTCAATTGAGTAGTATTATTGTAACGTGGCCCACGTTCTTCTTCTTCTCTCTCTCTCTCTCTCTCTCTCTCTCTCTCTCTCTCTCTCTCTCTCTCTC